TTATAAATTTTTTTCTAAGTACTTTAAGATCTAAATGAAATATAGTACATCTCTGAAAAAAAGATTAGTCTGACAGCACCTGTCATCCACCATTGCATCATTTAAGGTTTTGCAGCAGAATTGCATTACAGGAATACAGTAATTATTTGGGACCAACACCCTTATTCCTAAAGGAACCTACTTTTTTCTGCCCTTGTTGAGAATTAATTTTCAGTTCATATAATTTTTATTGATTTTTTTTTTTGCTAACAGTTTAAAGAAGATGAAGGTTCCGATGTTGAATTTTCATTTTTTCCTTAAGTCTTAGCTATTGTAACAAGTTAGCACTCATTGTTTGATACAAGTATTATTGTTTAAAATACAATTATGACTCCCATTCTCTACATGTATTACCTTTTACATGTGGCATTTACAAACCTCTCAATTAAGTTTAATAGTTTATAAGAAATTTCCTATGCTTTTTGCAAGTCTTGTAAAATAGGCATTCCTCAATGCTCTTGAAGAATATGGATTGATTAAAGTAATCTGGCTCTTAAATTCATACAATTTTTCCTCATTAATTATTACTCTTTTTTTTTTTTTTTACTGTCCTTGTTCTATATATAAGAAAAAAGAAAATGCGAGAAAACTATTTAGAACTCGAAACACTGAAACTGGGGTGATGGGATTAAATTTAAACAGAAGAAGGTTAGATTGGAGGTAAGGAAGAAATTCTTCCCTCTGAGGGTGGGGAGGTTCTGGAGCAGGTTGCTTAGAGAAGTGGTGAATGCTCCATCCCTGGCAGTGCTCAAGGCCAGGTTTCCATGTTGCCCAAGGATACTGCCTTAGGCGACGTGTTTTTTCACATATCATGGGCAGTGGCTTAGTAACTTCATTTGCCAGCAGATGGATTTCATCGGGTCCCATGGGCCTGTGCACATTCAGGTTCTTAAGATGATCTCAAACCTGATCCTTTCCCACAGTGAGCCTAAGGTCTTAATTCTCACAGTCCCTGCATGTGCCTTCCAATCTTAGGTATCAACTGAATTGTACTTATTCTCACATAGATTCATAAGATCTGAATGTATGCTCATTCTGATTTTGTTAAGAATACTTCTTATTCACACTTAGAACAGTTTTATTATAACAGCACAACTGTCAGGTTAAGTTGTTGTATTAAGAAAATACCATGCAGAAATTTCAAAAAGACCTCCAATGGATAAACAGCAAATGAATTGGGCTAAAGGATGAATGTGAGAAGTTGTACAAATTGTTTAATCTGTTCCCCAGGGTGCGGCATCACTTGAAAGTCCTGGTATGTATTAGAGGCTATTTATCTATCTGAGGAATTGGATGAAAGAATGAAGGAAAAATAATACCTTTTTGTCTCAGCTACTTTTTCCTTAAAAGCACAGTAAAGGTGAGCTACTTATATCAGGTATTAAAAAAAGTCTTCCTAGGAAGCACACTGGAACATCTTATTTCTCTAAGAAGTAGCTTTTGATATCATCATAATGGCAAATGAAATTTATTATAATTTTGTTTTATGATCTAAAAATTTTACTGATTATAGCCACAAATCTTACCAGACCAAGATAAAATAAAGTATGCTTTGTATTAGCAATACTCCAGACAAAGTTTAAAGTTACTGTGCTGGTTTTGGATGGGGTAGAGTTAATTTTCTTCACAGTAGCTACTATGAGGCTGTGGTTTGGATTTGTGCTGGAAACAGTGTTGATCACACAGGGATGTTTTAGTTATTGCTGAGCAGTATTTATACAGAGCAAAGGCCTTTTCTGCTCCTCATCCCACAAGCCAGGAGTCTGTGGGGGGCACAAGGAGTTGGGAAGTGACACAGACGGGACAGCTGATCCTAACTGACAAAAAGGCATATTCCATATGATGTCATGCTCAGCATATAAAGCTGGAACAAGAAGAAATCAGGGGGATGTTGAGAGTGATGGAATTTATCTTCTTAAGTCACCGTTATGAGTGCTGGAGCCCTTCTTTCCTGGAGATGGCTGAGCACCTGCCTGCTGATGGGAAGTGGTGAATCAATTCCTTGTTCTGCTTTGCTTGTGTGTGTGACTTCTGCTTTACCTATTGAACTGTTCTTATCTTAATCCATGATTTTTTTTCCCTTTTACCCTTTCAATTCTGTTCCTCACCCACTGGGGAGGAAGCTGAGGAAGCAGCTGGGTGGGGCTAAATTACTGGCTGGCGTTAAACCATGACAGTTATTTGTGCTCATTATCAGTGTTACTCTAACAATTAAAACTGAGCAGGAGTTACGTAGGAGTCCTAGAGACTTGTGTTTCCTGAGATGAACAACATTTTTAAGATTATCTGTAGGACACTGTAAGAAGTTATGAAGATCAAATGCCACACTGCACTAAAAAATTAAATGATATTATGTAATTTCAATGGCTACTGCAGTTGGATAGACACAGAGATATATTTGGTAGACTGTAGTTGAAAGATACTCAGAAATAAATGAACAGAAAACTGAAACTCTGAGGAAGCATAATGCGCCCAAGCCAAGAAAAAAAGGCATTTCGTTTAACAGCTTGTCCAGTCTAATATCTCTATTTGAACATTCCCATGGGAAAAAAAGAAATAGTCACTGTTATTTGCTCTCTAAAATTAAAGTTAAGAAAATTCTAATAGTTAAATTATACCTGCTCTGGCCATAGTCCTTCCAGTTCACAAATATTGCTAATAAAACTGAATATCACCTCTGTTAGTATAACTGGTAATATATTAGTATTTATTGCTGTAGCAAGCAGCATAAAGCTATTAATTGCTTAAAGTGCACGGGACACAGAAAATGCAGTAAAAGACATCTAGTTTTCCTGAACAATAGTTCATAAATAAAACCACATTTCTGAGTAAGACTGTTCAAGCTGGGCAGAAATATATTCATTATGAAAGTCTGCATAATATTTGGTAGGATTTATTTATTTCCCTCCAGCTTTGAAGGTAGTAGTTAGTTCCTTCACTCCATGTGGGAGTGAAGTAGTACCCACAGCAGAGGAAGATTAATTTAGAGATTGCTTAGGCTATTTGGACATACATCAACTCATGGGACCATGTGAAATGCATTTGAGGGTGCTGTAGGATGTGCCTGATGTCACCATAAGCCTGCTCTCTATCATATTTGAAACATCATGGCAATCAGTGGAAGTTCCAGACAGGTTTCCGATCATTGGAAAACAAAAGACAAAGGGAAAGCAGAGGGTGAAAAGGAATATGCCGGTAAGCACAGGTCTGTTAGCCTCATATCAGTTCTGGGGAACATTATGGAGCAAATTTGCTTAGAAACCATCTCTTAGAAACAGATGGAAGCCAAGAAGGTGATTTGGAGCAGCCGGCCTGGGTTTACCAAGGGCAAATAATAGCTGAACAACCTCCCTGCTGCTAGGATGAGATGACTGGTTCCATGGACAAGGCAAGGCTGATGGATGTAGGGTACCTTGACGTTAGTAAGACTTTTGACATAGTCTCCCACAGTCATCTTCTCGCCAAACGGGTGAGAGACAGGCTGGATGAGTGGACAGCAAAGCAGATAATGAATTGGTTGTGGTGCCAAGCTTAAAGCAGTCATCAGTGCTGGAAAGTTAGCTGGCAATCAGCTATCAGTGCTGTCTCTCACAGATCAATATGTGGACCAGTACTGGGAATTGTCTTCGTTACCGTAGGTTCATAAAGGGGCAAAGTACACTCTCAGAGAGCTTGTGGATGACAATTGAGGGGAAGCAGTCAATATACTGCTGCCTTTCAGAGGGACCTGGAAAGGCAGGGCTGCCTTTCAGAGGGACCTGGACAGGCTGGAGACATGGCTTGATGGGAACCTATTGAAGCTCAACAAAGAGACATGCAAAGCCTCACATCTGGCATGTAATAACCCCATGCACCATGACAGCAGGCACTCACTGCTGGGAGGAGGCTTTTCAGAAAAGGACATGGGGGTCTTGGTAGGCAAAAAGTTGAACATGACCCAGGGATAATATATATATATATATATGTGATTCTATGATAAGCCCTTGTAACAAAGGCAGTCAGTGGTATCCTGGGCTGTATTAGCAAGAGTGCAGCCAGCAGGTCCAGGGAAGTGAGCATTCTTTTCAGTTCAGCATTGGTTAGACCACAGTGGAGTAGTGTCCAGTTCTGGACAAGCAGTAGAACCTGCAACTCCCTGCTCAGGGGATACAGGGAAAACAAATGCACACTCTTCCAAGAGGTGCACAGCAGTAGGTTGTCAGGCATTGAAAACATGTTGGAACATGGAAATCCTTATTAGATATCAGGAAAAAAAAAATATTTTTTACCACGAGGGTGATCAAATATGGGATTAGAATGCCCAGAAAGGGTACAGATTCTCCATTCTTGGAGGTGTTGAAGACTCAGCCGAACAAGCCCTGATGATCCTGATCTAACTAGGCCAGCTGTGAGCAGGGGGTTATACTAGATAACCTACAGAGGCACTTCTCAAACTAAGTTGTTGTATGATACTACAACAGCAAAGATCTTAAAAGAGAGGGAAAAATAAAACCAACAACAAGCATAAAATCTGAAAGAATCCATGCTACTGATCCATCATTTGGTTTATCTTGTTTTTTTTTATTTGTTTGTTTGTTGGTTTTTATTTTCCTCCAGTCAGTATTGTTATACTAAACATTAGTCTGAGCCTTTATTATTAAATAAAACATTCCTTTATTCAAATGTAATGAAAAGCTCATTATGATTTTCCAGCTACCAGTGCAAACAGTATACTTAACCAAATGGTAATTGTAATGGTCTTCCTTCTATTCCAATACTGCTCTGAAACTTGTGTCTCTCAAATGAATAATTACCTACAAAATAATTAAATGTTGCTGATATGGTCTACTCATCCCACTTGTACATAGAAACAGCAAAGTCTGTCTTCCCTGAAATCTATCTCCGTCATGTCGGATAAGCTTACTGCCCATCATAGGGCTGGCATCAATCCCTACTCAATTACAGATGAACATAGCACCATATTAAAAGACAAATAAGGTTTAATTTTAATCACAGACAGCCTGTAAGTCCATGTTCCATTATAGATTAAAAGAACCAATTATTTTTAAAAGTAAAGACTTAATGAAAGACCTTGCTAATATATAGACACATTGCTCCCTCTGCATTTTAAGTCAGACTCTGCAGTAATGGTTGAAATTGCTGCAAGCAATCTAAGAAAGGCATGGGGATGAATCTTGGAGAATAATCTTTTTTCTTCAAATCATAAATACGCTTTCTCAACAGGATTTCATTTGTAAGACTTCTCTTTCCAAAGTGTAAAATCACTGAACATTTATAGACAACAAATTAGCTCTGTGGCCAGGATTTTATTGTTACTGAGACAGAGTAAATGCAAAATAACTGCATTGAAGCAGACAGAAATTCCACACTGATGACACTAAATGCTGCAGAAATCACTTTATCTCAGATTCAGAAAGGTAGTTAGGAGCATAATTCTCATTTTAATTCAATGAGAGTGAGGCACCTACACACCTCTGAATATAGATATTATAGTCTTCCATCTGTAACAACAGGAGTTGGATTACATAAGTAACTCCAGAATCTAGGTCATCAGAATTGTTCTTTTCTAGATATTGACTCTTTAGTACTACTTTCCAATCTTCCTTGTTTACTGAGTTACTATAATGTTTGTGAGACTGTGAACTAATAAAAATGCAGCTATAGGATGCTGTTGATACTAGCTCTGAGAATGTGAAGAGATAAAGGTGTATTTTTAGAGAAACATCTACTCACTGGGTAATCAGACAATGGTGTGGGTTAGTGCTATGATTGTAATTCCACTTGTACTGCGAAAGGATGAAAAGGCATATATATACAAAGATAACATCTAAATTTTTAAAGCTATTTTTACATAAGGTCATGCTTTTGTTGGTGATTTTTTATGTATACTGTTCAAACAGAAAGGCTTTAATGCATGGTAAACTCTCTTCATTTTCTAAATTTAAACCTACCTTCTTTAGAAGGCTTAAAATTAAAGTGCCATTGCCCAACATAGACACTGTTGCATCGTTCTTACAACTACTATTAACAGTTAAAAGAAAATAATCAATACCAGGACTCCCTTGTCTATAGAAATACCGGTATTTTATCTGCCCCCACTAAAATTTGAGAAAAAAAGCTTACTAAATAAAACACTAGTTAGGTCTGTAGAATAAGAAACTCAGAAAAAAAAAAAAACACAACAAAAAGCCAAACAAAACAACAGGTATTTCTCAAACATTTTAGGGATCTCATATCAAAACGTCATTGAGAATCCTTCTGACGATAAACAGAATACTTGGAAAACATCTCATATACTTATAGTCAATATTGGTTTTCATCTTCTAAATTTGTTCTGGTTTTATCTTCAATGATCCCTGAAGAGAAAACAAAAACCCTCAAGCTTCTTTACTGCTCTTGAAAAAAAAAAAAAAAAGGGAAGAGAATACAACCATTCACCACCCACCAACCAATACCCAGCCTGACTGAGCAGTGATCTAACCCTTCCGTGTAACTGCCCCCAGTTTATATCCTGGGCATTAACATGTTGTTCTATGAAATACCACTTTGGTCAGTGTGGGTCAGGTGTCCTGTCTCTGCTTCCTCCCGGCTTCCTCTCCTCCCTGGCACAGCGTGAGACTCACAAAGTCCTTGGTCAGAGTAAACATTACTGAGCAGCAACTAAAAACATCAGTGTTATCAGCACTGTTCCCAGGCCGAAAGTCAAAACACAGCCCTGCACCAGCTACTAAGAAGGAGAAAAATGTCTGCTACTGCTGAACCCAGCACAGTATCCACCCCTTATTCAATACCATTCACGTCATGCTCAGATCACACATTTTCAATATACTATCACTCTTAACTCATATATATACACATATATATATACACAGCCACAGAGAGAGAGAGATGCTCCTTAGCTCCTTAGAGCATGGACTAATCCCGATAGAGCTGCTGAGTCCATCTGGTCCATGGTGTCGGGCTCCACCTCTTGTAACAGTCTTTCAGAGCAGGAGAGGCTGTGCGCCATGTTCATACTCATGAATCACCTGGGCAATAGTGCCCATTGCTAAATCCACCCCTCGATCATGAGTCCATGATCTGAAGTGTCATGGGCTCACCAGGCTCAAAATAATTCACCATCCCCTTCAGCAGTTTCTGCAACTTGTTGCTGGGGACTCCATACAGCTGCCTTCCATCTCCGATGCTTCCAAAGCACTGGAGGGGCCCAGTGGACTACATGCTCGCCCATACTGTCCCACACACTCTGTCACTCATGCCTGTCCAGCCTTGGGGAAAATCTCTTGGTGGTCCTCCTATATCGTCGTCTAACCCTAGACAAGATCCAAACCCAACTCCGCTTAACTTTTAAGATGAGACAAAATGGTCATGGACAAAACACACTCTGTATGTATGCCAACGTGGTGATCCCCATTACAATCAGCAGGCAGGTGTCAAGGATACCCAAAGGCCATTCAAAACCTTCAGAACTCTCAGTTGATGCTGCTGTACTTGTCACTGGGGCTGGTGTAGCTGCTGTGTTTGGAGTTGGAGTAGCTGCATTATCTGTTATAGTCAGAGTCTGAGTATCTGCTGCAGCTGTCACTGGGGCTGGTGTAGCTGCTGTGCTTGGAGCTGGAGTAGCTGCACTGTCTGCTAGAGTCAGAATTTGAGTAGCTGCTGTACTTGTTGCAGGGATGTGTGGGAATGCCTCCCTCATAGGCTGACCACACGAGGAGGGGAAAAAAGATGTGTAATTGCAATACACATCTATTATACACCTCCCAAAGTATAGAGGTGGTGACCACACTGGGAACGCAAGCCAGATCAGCTTCATGATCAACGAGTCTATTGAATTACAAGTCATTACCATAAAGTACAATGAAATAAGAACCTTAGCCCAAGGCCCTCAGCCTATAAACACTAACACAGCAAATACTGGCTGTAAGTAAGGTACGACATGCTGAAACTGTGAGATCAAGAACAACAACTTTGAGAGCCAATAAATCAGCATTGTGACGAGTGACTATTAATCCAAAACAATAATTGCTTATCGCAAATATGATTAGACACACTCCAGTCAGATCTGTCATTATCTCAATACTTCATGCCCCACATTGGGCACTGTCGTGGCTTAAGTCCAGTCTGTCAATTCAGGCACACAGCCCTCGCTCACTCCCCTCCCTTCCTCCCCCCACTCCTGGAGGGATGGGGAGGAGAATCAGAAGAATATAACTCCCACTGGTAGAGATAAGAACAGTCCAGTAACTAAGGTATAACATAAATCACTGCTGCGATCACCAATAATAATAATGAAAAGGGAAATAACACGGGAAGAGAATACAACTGCTCACCACCCACCGACGGATACGCAGCCTGACCGAGCAGTGATCTAACCCTTCCGGGTAACTGCCCCCAGTTTTACAGCCTGGCCATGACGTGCTGTGGTATGGAATACCCCTTTGGTCAGTTTGAGTCAGGTGTCCTGTCTCTGCTTCCTCCCGGCTTCCCCTCCTCCCTGGCAGAGCATGAGACTCACAAAGTCCTTGGTCAGACTAAACATTACTGAGCCCAGGACAACTTGTTAGATATTCACAAAGAGAATATAGGAAAACAGCAACTCATAATGCAGGTGTATTGCAAAGATTCAGCTTAAAGAGTCTTCATTTTTTTTCAGCTGGGATTCTACCGAGTTTCTCATACACAGAAGAGACACAGAATTAACAGAAACTAGTAACTGAATCTACCAAGCTTAGGGATAATCAGGCTTGTCAGGAATTGAGTCTATACTTTCAGGCTTGAATCCTATGTAGGTTTATGTTTTAGATTTTTTTAAATGCAGCAAATTCCATTTTTAAGTAAACTCCAGTATTCTTCCAGTATGTTCTGCAGATTTCTTTCTTATGACATAGGTTGAAAGACACCCTAAATCAAGACTTTGCTAAATCCCTGAACAGAAAACTTTTGAAAAGATAAAACATGATCCACCCTGAAACTCCTGTGCCAGCATATCCTTTGTTTGCAGTAAGTGGATATAATAATTTTTTGAACAGAAGTAACAGCTTTCACAAAAATATTAGAATATACAAAAGTACAAATCATTCTTTAGCTGATCTAATATCAGTTCAGGTCAAGACCTGGATACTGGGACAACTATGATCTTAAGGTCAATACATTTGTTTTATTATATTGCATCTCAGAAATGTAGAAACAGCTTATTGGTTTCAAACATCAAGAGCATTATTCATTAAATTTATTATCACTTGATTTTGGAACCTTTCAAATTTGTTGCTAGCTATTCTAAACTCTGTTGGTGTCTTCTATGAAGAAGAAATGCATTTATACGTAAAAAAAAAAAACACAAAACGGTGAACGTACCTTGCACTTCCAGAAATGCCTTAGGTGCTTGCTATGCACTCAAAGATCAAGACTTGAGCATTGCGACTGTAAGCTGATAGATCACACTGAAAATGTAATCTACTATATTCTTACTCTGGAAGACCTTCTTTTCATGTTTTCTTCTATAGATTCAAAGGCCTAACATGTTTTAGCAGAAAACTAGTGAAGTAGCTAGCCACATTGTATACCAAATCCTCATACGTATTTTACCTCTGTAAGTAAAACACTCTTCAAAATCTGCACTTTTAGGAGCTATATTAAACTATCATAAAACGCACCTTTATAGAGCCTGCTGAGTAACTTTCACATTCTATGCTATACTTAGCCAGAGATGATCTCAATTAAGGTATTTTGCAAAAGTGTTAGCCCTCCCTCCCAATTTGTAGTTTCAGCAGTGACAGATAAGATTTTATGTTGTTAGCTATCATGAAAACAGATACAGTATTTTACACAGACTAATAAATGTTTTCATTCTCACAGTGAATAACAGCATTGAGACATTTACAAGAGACTGTTGTTCTCACACATGGTAATTAGATGCTTGATTCTGCTATGGCTTTTCACAAGGTCTTAAATACCTCAAATTCATGTTCTGATAAGTATATATATATAATTTTGGGAAAATTTTACAAGCATAGTTCAATGATATGCAGATATATGAATATATGAACTTTCCTTTGAACAGTTTGGCAATATATAAAACAGTGCGTTCAAAGTCTGAAATACTTAATAAAAATGGCCAGTTTTTATAAGCATCATTTTGAAATTAACTGAGTAATTTTGTCTGCATAATCATACCTCTGAAGGGGTACAATAAAATATAAATTTAATCAAATGCATTTTTAGAACAGGCCTCAAGCTAGTGCATGTACAATTTTGACCCAAATATGTAGTCATGAGTATAATATCAGACCTTTAATTATAATTTCTATTATAATTGTTCTATTGAAGAAAATGTAACCAGTGCACTTACCTGCAATTATGCACACACAGTATGTGGATAGAGTAGATAAAGACACTCCTGTGAACCGTCACTTGCTGAGCTAATTCACCCAACTGGTTTAATTTCGTTTGCCCTCAGTCTGTCGTTACCATGATTACATCTAAATGAAAAGACAAGGAAACATGAAAATCATCAGAATTACTATTTAAATTTTCAATTTGACTTTTATTCATGAACAATCAGGAAGTTAGGGTCACAGACAACATTGTAAGAAAAATTAAGTGCTTTGTAAACTTTCTGATGACAGGGTATATAAATATCTTATCTAATTGCTGAAACATATGGCCTCTCCGAGACTCATTACAAAGTGCACCTGGTGTTCTGTGATAGGAGATCTGTATTTAATTCTAAAGTGTTGTGATTTATATAAGCCATCAAGAAAAGACTTTTTTGGGGTATCTACTGTAACACTGCAGACTGTTCCTCAGAGCTAAATACTCTTTAGGCCACAATTTAAAAAAGTTTTCTGTTTTATTAGGATCCAAAGCAAGAGACAAAAGCTTATTTGAAATATTCATATTCTACTGTATATATTGCATTACCATAATACATTGTCTTCTAACAAGAATGTTTATTGCAATGTAGCATCCACACTGCACTCTGAAGTACACACTGCAGACTCTTCCCTATATCTGAAGAACAGTAGAAAGCTTTGTATAGCATTGATATGTGGGTTCAGCAACCCCACATATCCATACATGAGGTCCAATTTATTGTTTGTATTATGAAGTAACGGTATTATGTTGTCGTGGTTTAAACCCAGTCAGGTAACTCGTTCACTCACTTCCCCCCCTTCTTGCCCTCCCCCTGCTCTCAGAGGGATGGAGAGGAGAATCGAAAAGAATGCAACTCCCACGGGTTGAGATAAGAACAGTTTAGTAACTAAGGTATAACACAAATCACTACTGCTACCACCAATGATAATAATGATAAAGGAAATAACAAGGGAAGAGAATACATCATCTCACCACCAGCCGACCGATAACTCGCCCCCCCAGCCCGACCAAGCTCTGACCGATACCTCCTCCAACCCTGCAGTCTCCCAGCCCTTCCGGCTAACTCCCAGTTACATCCTGGGCATGACGTGCTGTGGTATGGAATACCTCTTTGGTCAGTTTGGGTCAGGTGTCCTGTCTCTGCTTCCTCCTGGCTTCCCCTCCTCCCTGGCAGAGCATGAGGGAGGCCAAAGTCCTTGGCCAAACCAAAACATCACTATCAGCTCTGTTCCCAAGCTGAAAGTCAAAACACTGCACTGCACCAGCTACCAAGAAGGGGAAAAATGACTGCTACTGCTGAACCCAGGACATTATCCACCCCTTATTCCATACCATTCACGTCATGTTCAGATCCCACATTTTCAATATACCATCACTCTTATCTCAGTGCACTCTTAACTTAGTGCATGGACCAGTCCCTATAAAGCTGCTGTGTCCATCTGGTCCATGTCAGGCTCCATCTCTTGTAACAGTCTTCCAGAGCAGGAGAGACTGTGTGCAGTGTTCACACTCGTGAATAACCTGGGCAATAGTGTCCATTGCTAAGTCCACCCCTCGATCATGAGTCCATCTCTGTGTTGCATCTCTGCTCTGATGGCCTGAAGTGCATTGGGCCCACCAGGCTCAAAATAATTCACTGTCCCCTTCAGCAGTTTGTGCAGCTTGTTGCTGGAGACTCCATACAGCTGCCTTCCATCTCCGACGCTTCCAAAGCACTGGAGGGGCCCAGTGGACTAGATACTTGCCCATACTATCCCACACACCCTGCCACTCATGACTGTCCAGCCTTGGAGAAAACCTCTTGGTCACGCTATATCCTTGTCTAACCCCAGACAAGACCCAAACCTGACTCTGCTTAACTTTTGAGATCAGACAAAATGGTTGTGGGTAGAACACAGCCTGTGTGTGTGCCAACATGCTGATCCCCATCACAATCAGCAGGCAGGTCCCAAGGATACCCAAAGGCCATTCAAAACCTTCAGAACTCTCACACGATGCTGCTGTACTTGTCACTGGGGCTGGTGTAGCTGCTGTGCTTGCCGGCTCTCCCACCGCCAGCTTCTCTTTTCCTGAGTCCAGCTCTTCCTCCTCTGCCTTGCTGGGAAATGCTGCGTGGTCTCCTGCATCCTCCTGGGGCTCGGCGGGCGGCTTCCGGGGCATGCTCTCGGCTGTCGCGGGGCTCGGCTCGGCCGCGGGGCTCGGCTCCTCCGCCACGTTCTCCCGCTGCTCTGCAGCCGCTTCCTTCCCCTCCTCGACCGCCCCGACCTCCTCCACCGGCAGCCGTCCCCTCGCGGCCTCCGGCCCCGCTCCCGCCGCCGCTTGCTCCCCGGGGCCGCTCTCCCGGGCCGCTTCGGTTGCCGCCGGCTCCCGGGGCCGCTCCCACTCGGCTCCCCGCAGCCTCACGAAGATGGAGGCGAGGGTGAGGGCCAGGGCGGTGAAGAGCAGCCGGACGGGCAGGTACAAGTCCATGGCCACGTCCGTCCCGCCCTGCTGCTGGAGCCCGCCCGTGTTACAAGCCATTGCCATAAAGCACAGTGAGATAAGAACCTTAGCCCAAGCCCCACACTTGATTAACACAGCAAATACCGGCTCTACGTAAGTTACAACATTCTGAAGCTGTGAGATCAACAAGAACAACTCTGAGAGCCAATAAATCGTCATTGTGATGAGTGACTATTAATCTGGTCAGATCTGTCGTTATCTCAACCCTTCGTGCCCCACGTTGGGCGCCAAAAAGAACTGTCGCGGTTTAAACCCAGTCAGGTAATTCGTTCGCTCACTTCCCCCCCTTCTTGCCCTCCCCCTGCTCTCGGAGGGATGGAGAGGAGAATCGAAAAGAATGCAACTCCCACAGGTTGAGATAAGAACAGTTTAGTAACTAAGGTATAACACAAATCACTACTGCTACCACCAATGATAATAATGATAAAGGAAATAACAAGGGAAGAGAATACATCATCTCACCACCAGCCGACCGATAACTTGCCCCCCCAGCCCGACCAAGCTCTGACCGATACCTCCTCCAACCCTGCAGTCTCCCAGCCCTTCCGGCTAACTCCCAGTTACATCCTGGGCATGACGTGCTGTGGTATGGAATACCTCTTTGGTCAGTTTGGGTCAGGTGTCCTGTCTCTGCTTCCTCCTGGCTTCCCCTCCTCCCTGGCAGAGCATGAGGGAGGCCAAAGTCCTTGGCCAAACCAAAACATCACTATCAGCTCTGTTCCCAAGCTGAAAGTCAAAACACTGCACTGCACCAGCTACCAAGAAGGGGAAAAATGACTGCTACTGCTGAACCCAGGACATATGTATTCACTAGTTTTAAAAAACAGGTGCTATAAACACACTAAAACTATTCCAGAAAGAAATAGGCATAATGCTTTTACATATACATACATATATATACATATACATATATATATTTACATACATATACACACATATATACATATACACATTTATACATATATGTATGCATATATATGTATATATGTAAAAGCATTATGCCTATTTCTTTCTGGAATAGCTTTAGTGGGTTTATAGCACCTGTTTTTTAAAACTAGTGAATACATAATACCGTTACTTCATAATACAAACAATAAATAGGTTGCACTAGAGACACCTTCAAATATATATGTATATTTGAAGGTGTCATCTAGTGCAATGAGCAGGGACCTTTGAAGGACACTTCCAACTCAAACTAGTCTATGATTCTATGGTTCTATTCTATTCTATGAAATGGCCAAGGACTCCCCTCGTCCCACCTAATCCACAGTTTAGGTATTTACCTTGAAAACACCAACTCCTTGTCACATTTTATAGTTGCATCATATTGCCCACGTCATCATTTAATAAGTTATATAACACAATTCATCCTAGTATAAAATGGTCAAAAATTTCCCAGCAGCAAATTCTAAGCAACACAGTGTAATTTATTGGAAGATATAATGTCAATTCTTTTGAGCATGAGCCGTATAAGTAATGTTATCTGGAGCATGCTCCTCCCTATAAAATATGTATCAGCCTTAAAAACTAGAAACCTGTTACCTTAGTCTGTGGGGAAAACAACAGTATTAAATGCCAGACTACTAAAAAGTACCATAACTTATATTTCAACACAAAGCAAAAAAATCCATTTAGATTGTGAAGTACTCCTATGTAAAGCTTCCCAAAAGGCAATAAAGTAAAATCATGAAAATGCTAGAGAGATTAAATGATAAAAGACATTTCACAAAATATGAATTTATCTTAGAAAATGTCATGGGAAAAAGATCAAGTATCTTGTTTAAAAACCAAAAACAACACAGAGATGTTTGGCCTACTCTCTGAGAACTCTTTTCCTGCAAATAGAAACCAGCTTGACCGTACAGTTGTCTAGCTAATAATCCCTTATATTCTTTATATAGGAATTTAAGAAATCCACAGCCTTTTATACAAGTCGATTTAAATATTTTGGGCCCTGAGGTTTTGCTTTTTGTATTCATTCAAACGTTTATACATGCCTATGCTTGATAATTCCATGCATTATATGTAAAACTTGATACATGCATATTTCAGTGTACAGTGCCAGAATTTAGTCTTTTACTGTCACTGTTTATGTAACTTTAGTTACTTGCACACTTCCCCAAATACTTTCCAAGGAAAGGCATATGACTGCGAAACTACAAAGCAACAAAACCTGTTTCCAGACCTACTACAAATTCATACAACTTAATGACTTCAATGAAGATAGGTCTATTGTCACAGAAGCATTCAAAGGGAATGTCAGTCATGGTTTAAACTCAGTCAGCCACGCAGTCCCTCTCTCACTCCTCTGCTTTCCTTTCCCCCTCTCCCAGAGCGATGGGGATGAGAATCCAAAGAATCTAACTCCCACAGGTTGAAATAAAAACAGTCCAGTAACTAAGGTATAACACAAAACCACTACTGATACCACCAATAAAAATAATGATAAGGGAAATAACAAGGGAAGAGGATACAACCGCTCACCACTTGCCGACCAATACCCAGCCCGACCTGAGCAGTGATCTAACTCTTCCGTGTAACTGCCCCCAGTTTATATCCTGGGCATAACATGTTGTTCTATGGAATACCTCTTTGGTTAGTGTGGGTCAGGTGTCCTGTCTCTGCTTCCTCCCGGCTTCCCCTCCTCCCTGGCAGAGCATGAGGCTCAGAAAGTCCTTGGTCAGAGTAAACATTACCAAGCAGCAACGAAAAACATCAGTGTTATCAGCGCTGTTCCCAGGCTGAAAGTCAAAAACACAGCACTGCACCAGCTACTAAGAAGGAGAAAAAATGACTTCTACTGCTGAACCAATGACATAGGGACAACATACAGCAGCATGCCCAAGGTCACCCATAAAGAAAGCACATAGAAACAGGATATTCAAATTCATATTCATATTCACATTTTTGTAGATAAATACCACCTAACAGCCTACTAAGAAATGTTAAGCCTCATTTTTATAAAAGCAAAATAACATATAAATGGAATCAGATATAACCAGTAGCTGAAGAGGTGAAGAAAGATCAGTGATGTTATTGGCACTTCTGAATATTATGAACATTAACAAATTAAAATATTTATGAGGAAGATTATAGGAAAAAAAAGTCTTCTAGTGTGCTGAACTGAAAAGTGCCTCACCAGCAGGTCGAAGGAGGTGATCCTGCCCCTCTACTCTGCTGTCATGAGACCCCACTTGCAGCACTGTGTGCAGTTCTGGTGTCCCCAACATAAGAAGGAGATGGAGCTGTTGGAGCAAGTCCAGGGGAGGCCACGAGGATGATCAGGGGCTGGAGCACCTCCCATATGAAGATAGGCTGAGAAAGCTGGGGCTGTTCCGCCTGGAGAAGAGAAGGCTGCATGGAGACCTCAGAGCAACTTCCAGTATCTGAAGGGGGCCTATAGGGATGCTGGGGAGGGACTCTTCATTAGGGACTGTAGTGACAGGACAAGGGGTGATGGGTTCTGAAACTGAAACAGGGGAAGTTCAAGTTAAATATAAGGAAGGAGTTCTTCCCTGTGAGGGTGGAGAGGCACTGGCACAGGTTGCCCAAGGAAATTGTGAATGCTCAACCCTTGGCAGTGTTAAAGGCCAGGCAGGACAGTCTTGGGCAACATGGTTTACTGTGAGGTGTCCCTGCCCATGGCCGGGGGGTTGGAACTACATGATCTTGAGGTCCTTTCCAGCCCTACCTATTCTATGATTCTTTTATGATACACAGGGCATAGATCCACAGGATACAAGAGAATATTAGAAATTCAAAGACTTCCAGTTCCTCACAAGGATGTAGAAAAAAAAGGCAAATCCATATGGCATAATAAACATATTTATCTCTCAGGCTAAGAGTTCTTGCTACTGAAAGACTAGAAGAATAACTGAATTCCTGAGAAAAGCTAGAATGTTTGCTGTTTTCTTCTGTAAAATTTGTAAACCCAAAGTATTTGACTCTCACCTTTTTTTATTTTTTTTCCCATCTTGCTGTTATTTGTTGTTGATAAAATAATAGGCTAGCAAGAAATTACAGCTGCAGCAATGCTGCCAGGTCACAAGCTGCAGGTAGCCATGCTAACAAATCAACTTCTGAATGCCAAAAGCATGGAATCTGCAAATTCCCATATTTAAAAGTAAGAAATAACAACAAATTGAAAGAAATAAAAAGGGGAAAAGTGCGTCAGAGGCATAAATGATAATCTTCAATTTCAATGACAATTTCTTTAGTTACAAGACTATAAATTTTGCAGGAGTAGGAGCTTCCTCCTCTTTGGAACTTTCACAATGCACTGAAAATGTATGTAGATCTACTGTGAGAGAAAGAGAAGAGCAGACAGAGTATATACGTATCTTTTTGGTCTACAATGCCTTCACTTGGAAAGCTTGACAGACTGTGGTCCACAGTTGAGATTTAGATAGTCCATACAGATTCTGAAAAGGGAAAGTAACCTCTTGTCTTCTCATTGAAAAAACTGTCATTGCATCTAGAAGAAATTTAGAGCCCTGGGTCCCAAAGGAAAGGAGGAAGAAGGCCACTGTGCTTCAGCAATGGGCAGAGTAAAGAAACTCCAAGTCTACTGGAGGGATTGCGAACGACTGCTGAGCTTCAGGTAGGTTCCCCTACTAGCATGGATGATATTCTAGGTCCAGACATCAAATATATAAAAGGTGGTTACTACTTGGATGAGTTTGGCAATATCTTGATCCCTTAACTAGGCAGTATAGTGTTAATCCGTTTCTAGAAAATAGAAAATTAATAATGGAGACTTCTTAGTCTAGCCATCAAAGGTGAAACAACTTCTAGAAGTATTAAGTATCACAAATTCAAACCAGATATGTACACTTTTAATATTTCAAGTGATTAACCTCTTTAGCAGTTTTTAAAGTGGTATAGTACAGTCTGGACATTTTTAAATTCAGAATTGGATTCTGATCAAAGCACAGCTCTAGATCAAAAAGAAATCCCTTGGTGGTGGTATGCAGGATGACAACTGTTGAAGGATAAAAATTCCTGAAGGACCAACAAGTTTATTATACAAATTCAAAATTGATCTATATGGGAGACTATTTGGAACACAGCAGAGCTAATACATCCATGCAAACAACAGAGTAAAAAACTATAATAACTGTACAAATTCAGCTTAAACTTAGCTGGATAATGAGCTTCAGTAGCACTCTGATATGCTGCAAATGAGACAAACCAACAGGAATGAAAATTACTAAGAACTGGTTTATTTTTTCCGAACTCAGTCCAGTAACAAGGAGGTGATTAAAATTATTCAGCAGATGGCTCAGATGAGAGAACAGCTTGGTAGAAGCAGGACAAGGCTAATTAGTGCATTATGCCTCCCCCTTTTCTTCTTTGCTTTAATTCCCAGATCATTCCGTTCTCTCTCACATAGAGTTTATCCAGCCTCTGCATTTCTCTCTGCAATATCATCTTATACCTCAACAGTGGTCTTTTGCAGCAGCCTATAGTGCAGAACTCCTACAGAATAAGCAAGAGATTTCAGCTAAACTGCTGAAAAGTCAGGTGGCAGCATATCCTTCTTGGCAGGTGTGATACTCTTTTCAATTGTTCTCAGAAAAACTACTCCTTTGCTATATTGTCAATTTTTGAACTTAAAAGCACTGGTAAACACACCATGAATGTTCATGTAGGTTAATGATTGTGTTTGTATAAACTGGCACTAAATTAAAATCATACAAACACCTGAGAAAGGGTTGAAGGCCACAGATTTCACACATCTTCTAAGTTTAGGTTATAAGAAAGCTAAGTATATGAGATCTTTGTGATCTCACAATATAAGTAGCATCTCCATATGGAAAACCAGAGAGCTATTCGGCACAGCTGTCTGTGGAGAGCTGATGTAAGACTGAGTCCCTTGTGCAGTTGTTAAACTCTCAAGGCCATACAGTTTGCCAGCCTGGAGAGCCATAGGCTTACACTGCCCCCATAGTGTATTAAGACATGTGTAACCATGTCATCCTCACTGTGAACAGGAGCTGACAGTTGTTTAGATACACTCTTATTAATCTAGGATAACCCTTCTCCTCCCTGCCCAGTATTGCTTTATCTGTTCAAAAAGGAAGACTTTTGTGCCTACAGACCACAAGAAATTTGCACTGGAATGGGTAAGGTTATTGACATCTTCAAGGTTGCACAGTATCAGAGAACAGGAAAACCATTTTGTCCTTGGTATTACTTTGATATAAGTCAAAAACATTCAAGTAGCTAATACTAGCTTGCTCTGATCTTTTTTTTTTTTTTAAGCATGGAATTAAAGAAAATTGTATCTGCCTATTTGAATGAATAAATAGTTCTCTATTTCACTATAAATCATTTTACTAGATATGTTAGGAATTCCGTCTAATGCAGAAATATAGCAAACATGAACCTTAGGACCACCTAATAATATATTTCTCTGATTATAAAATTTAAAGTAAGCGTGATGGTTAACTTTGTTTCTTGTTTAAAAATAGATCAAGGAAAGGGATGGGAATCCTTTATGAAAATCCTTTACATTTAAGATAATCTAAATGGGTGTTGCTCAAAAAAGACTGCCACCAACACTATTTTAGCATAACAGCAACACCATTTACCACTGTTTTTTTATCTTTTTTTTTTTTTTAAAAGAAGAAACTACTACAATCACATCTGGGTGAAGCCACTGTGAGACGTGCAGTGCTCCAAGATCAAAGTTTTAAAAATTTTCTGCTTTTGTTGGCAGAGGTGTTTGTGAGATTGTGGCTGTAAATCAGAGTACATTCTTGGAAAGCAAGAGGGAATTTGAGCAGAATAAATTTAAGAGTGTGTGTAGTTTATTTTTTAATGAAAACAATATTCTATTTCAAAGGCATAAACTAGTTCTTAGTTACCTGGATGTTGGCATTACTTTAATGACTCTATGTTTATACCCAAGGAAAATTCATAATTCACCCTTTTTTTTTCTGCTGTGGTGCCAGTAGAAACAAAGAAGAGCTCAGCCTCAATGGTCAAGATTTTCTGATCTACCAGAATTAAGTCAGCTTTTCCATGAAGCACTAAAAGAACACAGAAGTCAGTTAGTTGAAGAAAAAATATTAGACCTAACATTAAGGGACACAAGGTTATTTGTGGAAAGCTTCTAAATCTATTTCCGGAGATAGAAGATTGACAGAGACCCAGACTTGAGGTGTCTCTTAAGTACTAACAGAATTTAAAAGACCAATAACAACCCAACACCTACATATTGTCAGAGGAATAAAAGCTTTCCCAAACTTTGAAGGAAAAATGTGATAGCCCTTCTGGATTTCTGAAGTGCAGACACACAACAGTGCATTGGCTATACATTGAGTATCAGTAAAGCTGGAGAAAACTGGGAATAATAATACCCAGATTCTAATAACATGCCAGTATGAGACATGATTTTAATGGGGCACACTAAACCAAGCACATTTAGTGAATTTTAGGAAAGCAGGGCTAAACCAAGATTTAATACTACTAGTAGATCTATCCTAACAAATGAGGATGCTTTAAACTTTTGCTTAGAAGTCTCTCTCAAGAGTAAATGCAGTTAGAGCTCAAAATTTTGGCAGTACCATGAAAAAGTAACCTGGAGGTACAGAAGATAGCCATATCTCAGCTATACTGACAAATGATTTTTGTAAGGGAAATTACCAAGATATAGAAGTTAGCAGAGTAATGACAAGATCTTCAGATTCCTCTATTCTGCTCTTCCCCACAGACGCTCATATGATACAGTGCTGAATGCAGTCACAATAATAAACAACATCACATAGATAGTGTTAAATTATTCCGATCCTTCTGAAACTGAGGATCACAAGGAAGAATAAAGAGACATCTTTTTCTTAAATAAACTGTTCCTAACCTAAGATTTTACATTAAGAAATATATTCTTTTTGTCTGTTGAAAACATGCAAGTAGTTGAAAATACCATAGCTGGCTTAAACATAACCAAGTCCTGCAGAAGTCAATGGATGACAGACAAACCAAAGCTATCGCAACTCACCCAGTGGAACATATTGTTATTCATACTCAACATTTAAGTTGCAGCCATGTTCAGACAGGTCAACATACAGTGTTACACATAATCTGAAAACATATATAATAACCTGCATATAACATATGCATAGTCATCTTTCTTATTTTACATCAAATCATATAGTGAATATAGTAGTATGCCAGTTTTAGGCAAGCAAAGTGGAAACCACCATGCAAATGGAGTTTTGTACCAAGTTACTCTAAAAATTCTTGTAGATAGGGAACAATCAGTACAATAATTTGAAGCTGCAATATTTAATCATAGAATCATAGAATAGCTATGGTTGGAAAGGAACTTAAGATCATTCAGTTCCAACCCCCCTGCCATGGGCAGGGACACCTCACACTAAACCATGGCACCAAAGGCTCGGTTCAAACTGGCCTTGAACACTGCCAGGGATGGAGCATTCACAGCTTCCCTGGCAACCCATTCCAGTGCCTCACCATCCTTACAGTAAAGAACTTCCCCTGTTTAAGTTTTAACCCATTACGCCTTGTCCTATCACTACAGTCCCTAATGAAGTGTCCCTCTACAGCAACTTTATAATTAATCATACCATCTGGGTTGTAGAACTAACTAGCAAAAGGGTGTTCCTATTAATGTCTCTAACTCTAATTGTTATTTTAATTTACTGAAAGAAACTATGCAGCCCCAAGGCCAGTCATAAAACTATGTTAGTGCAGAGCTTCTTTCCCTTCAGAAAGTAGAAGCAAAATGAAAAAATTGCCCTTTGAATAAAAAAGAACATAAAATAAAAAAGAAGCTAAAATAGAATTGTTACTAATTTTCATCAAGGTTAATGTATAGTAAAAACTAAAAAAAAAAAAAAAAATTAAAAAAAAAAGTACAATATAATGAATTTTACTGGGTACTAAAACTTTCTTGTACTACACAGTATTTTAAACAAGCATCTGGCATGCAAATTCATGGAGAAAGGATCATCTTGTAACTAGTTCATCTTCTAGCTCTTCTGACAAGAATGCCATGTAGGTAATAATTACTGTTAATAATTTGGTAATTTAACATTCTTTGGAAAAAGAGGATATTAAAAATAGTTTTAGAAACTTACGTTTTCCAAAATATCATTTTAGCAATCACATTGCTTCGCAATTTTTTTGGATTCATGATGTCATTTAAAATAAACAAAAAATGCTTTTTGATATCTCAGCATGTGTAGTGTCAAAAAATCTATGCATAACTCACTTTGCACTTTCACTTCTAATGATTCAATACCATTTGACCATTCTTATGTGCCTGAATGTTTACTGAAAACTATTTTGTCAAGTCTTTCGCACATGAAAACAACTTTGTTTTCACTTTTATGCATTCTGTAATGTATTTCACCTTAGTCTTCATTTGCAACAGCAAATGTTTCAGTGTGCACTTAAGGCCAACCAATATATAGATTTCAGTACCTGAAATGTGCAGAGGCAGAACCAAGGTGCCTAAACAGTTAATCTTAGAAATATTTACTTGAGTGTATATTTGCATCTCAAACAAGCAATATCAAAGTCTTCATCCTTTAATAAAGCAATCAATCCTTGGTGCTTATCTTGCTTCTCTACCAGGAGTTCTCACATATCCACCAAACAGCTAGAAACAGTCGGTACACATACTGTTTACCTGTAGGACATGCTATAATAAATAAATCTAATAATTCTGACCTAATAGCTTCAGTTAGAAAAACAGCAGGAGATGGTGATAAGAGTCATCCTTCCAGTCAAGAAGCCAATTACAGTATTTTACCAAAAATGTGCAGGCCTTCAGTTCAGTTCTACCCTTCTGAAAGGACTCAGATCACTCATACATCCCCCAAAACATCCTAATTCTTGGGTGATAAGCTATTGTGAGGGGCTGTTTTACCACCCTCTTGAAATTGGATCACCAGTTGAATTAAAGATTCCCTACTGATCAGAACATGAACGCAGTGAGTGAATTTAGACTTTGAAACAATAACTGATGTCCTCCAGCTACAAAGTTAGGCTTTGTGAGACATAGACTGAAACCTGTTTCCTAAGAAAGGAAATTTTTAAGACAATGTTCAGCATTTCTGATTCGGTATTCCAAGAAGCACTCTACTCAGTAGGGTTGTTGTTGTGTATTCGATCCATAATGGTTAACTCTCCCTAGAGATTTCTACAGTGCTTCAGGTTTTCATATGCATAGCGTTCTTTCAGTTTTCCAAATTTTAGGTACTCTGCCCACCTAAAACTTAACTAGTTGGGCCCTTTGTAAGTAGTAGGCTTCTTGTCATGTTGAAATTGCTTCAATATTGAAAATTGATGGCATGCATTAATTCTGGGTATGAGTGAATATAACAAAAATAAAAAATATACAAAGCAGTTTTGTCTTGAAAGCAAGGCAAAACTTAAGTATTCTTCCTGCTCCTGTACCCTAAAAGCAATTGTTTACACTAACTTCTCTATTTAATTCTGTTTGGGTTTTCTCTTTCTTAGGGAAGATATTATAACACATGAAGGATTTTAGTTAGCACTGAAAGAAAACTTGAGCTGACTGACTTACCTGTTGAGAGTAAAAGCTTTTACTGCAGGAGATTGTAGCCATATGAGGTCTCCTGCTGTCTAAACCCTTCAGAAGGACTTCAGGACTTCCTGCTATTTCATTTGGTATCTTCACCTCCCAGTGCTTAATAACAGTGTTTCAAGGGATCTGTAAAGAAATGAAAGTTGCCTCTTTTTAAAAAAGGAAATAACTTTAGTAATGTCACCTTGCTGCTGATTGTGCTTGCCACATTTTAAGGTATAAAATAGACAAACTGTGAATAGACAACTAATAAAAATGAAAAACCAAGAATTCATCCTATACTGAAACACTGGTCTTGTCATCAAGGAAACAAAAGTAGTACATTACTTTTTAGAAGACTGAGTTTTGAGGTAACTATGGCTGAATATCTCATATGTGTTATAAAAGGTTTTCACAGTTGTTACATTCTTCCTTTATAAAACAACAACAGACACTATTAAAAATTCAACTTTGCCAGGTTTTAGCAGCTTATGGCCCCAGCTTCAGTTTATCTCTTGTTTAATGGACTTGACACACACATTTTGGTCTATGCTTTCATAAAAAATTAAAAAATAAAAAAAAAAACAAAAGCAAATTACTTCAGGTCTATCGGAAAGACAAGACACACCATTGCTCTGGTTATAAATTAAAGGCCACAAGCTTACAACCTTTGTATTGCCCAGACCCTGAAGGGGCTAAATACTTGTCTGGGCTTCTTTAGCTCTCATAGCAATTGTCAAGCAAGTAGGTAAATGTTCCTTGAATTAGTTTTAATTAGTTAATCAGTTTTAGTTACTTTTATTTTATAGTGATAACACAGAGTGAATGAACTATCATTCTAAGGAGTCAGTTCTGTGGCAGGTTACTTAGGCAGTATGAACATAGGCTGCACAATATAAGCACAAATTGTCATGATCAATGGAGGAGTCCAACTTTGTTTTATTCCAGTGAAACCAGCTTTAGAGAAAACAAAGTAAACAAAAATCTGAACAATGGAACCAATGGAAAGAAAAAAGTACATCAGTAGATTATATTTTATAAAAAAAAACCACAAATTAACACTAAAACTGAGGTGGAGGAAGACATTACCAGCATCACAGAATTCCCAAAAGAAAGGAGAAGGAAACCTCCATCACTAGCATCACAGTCCTTCTGACAAACGCTTCTTTAGTAACCCCTTCCTACCCATGACGGGGACTGTCAACACTAGCACTCAGCAGACCGTGAGAAGCGTGAGTTTTTCCAAAGAAAAGTGGAAATTTTTTCTGTGTAAGCATTTTTAATTGTATTCTTGAAGTTATCCTGTGTTTATATTGACTATGAACATATATTATTGTAAGCAGACTAACAATTAGGCTGTTCACATGCCAATATGCCTAAC